TTTTTTTTAAAGCAGATGATTCACATCTGCTGTTATTGCTCCAGCGGTACCGTCCTTAATACATGTAAAGGACCGTCTGTTAGATGTGATAAACAGAGAATATGTTGCGTGCTGCTTTAAAATCTTGCATTCCTCCTTGCATGCACACACACATTTGAACATTTTAATTGCGTTGGAAGAACTTTTTAGGTCTACAGATCAGCCAGCAGACAGTTGGTGTGCACCAATAATGAGGCGGACACACCTGGCGTGCGAAAACAACTGGTTTGGCCCTGGTGTCAGAGTCTGCGTCAGCAGCTGACTCCCGCGTCTGGAGAAAGTTTCTGGGACCTCAGAAATCATTTGGCGAATCATTTAAGGAAATTGTGAACGTATGATTAATAATCATGATGATTAATCACACAACTGAACTGTTCTTGTTCCACACAGACCTGACTTTCAAGACAAGAAGTAACTTTTAGTAGCCTATTTGTGGAATTCATTGGATACTGGTGGAAATCATCATTTGATCATTTGCACAGACACAAATAAATTAATAAAGCACCAAGTATATCATTAACCAACAAATATGCCTAGTACAAGTGAAGTTAATTTAGTTGGGTACAAATCAACTAAGACAAATATCTAATTAGTCGTTTTAAAATGTGATGCCAAATGACTTAACCACACAATGCCATTGTAAACAGTACAAGATCTCCACTACACTACATAAAGTAAAAAAAAGAAGACATTAAATACAAAGTTAAATGTCTCACTTCACCTCTTGTCCCACTTAATCTGTATTTACTTATATTGCATTTTGAAACTAAAACAATGAACCTTCTCAACAAACCAGGTACGCTAGACTAGATGTTTAATTTATAAAATGAAAACTTATTTAACTTATATTATCTATAGAATTAAGGTGGAATTAATATCCTCCAGGCAAGTACCTCTTCTGGTGATCTCACCTCCTTTGCTGCTTTCTCTCAATTTGCTACACCTTGTTTTTGAAAACTATAAGCAATCTTCAAGCATTTAATTTTGATACATACAAATTAGCCACAAATTCGCCAAACCGTACAATATTATGAATTGCTGTGAGAGTGTTGTTTAATTCCCCACATGATAATGGAGTGCATTTTGTTGTTTTATTTCTTAAAGTTTCGCTGTTTCTTTCAGGGTTCATTTTATGGCAGACTAAGACACTTCCTGGATGTGATCGACCCTCGCACGCTCTTTGTATCAGAGGTAAGCGAGAGTCTTCTGAAATGTAACCCTCAAATAATTTGATAATTTGTATGTGAATGCTGTTTTCGCTGTTATTTGTTTATTTATTTTTTAGAAACGTTTAAATGAATGTATGAAACTCTTGGATCAGTTCAAAAATGGAACTCTGCCTCCAAGTGTGACTAATGTGCAGGTACGTTTGGGGCCCATTTAAAGGTAATTTGGAAACCCCCATTGTGTCATGTTTGCTACACATTTTTGCAGTTATGCCATATAGGGGAACCATTTTTGGTGCACCAAAGCACCTTTCAGTGAACAGTTTATAAAATAAAAAAAATGTTCACTATAAAGAACCTGTTGTGGAATGGAA